GAAAAAAAAAAAAGACAGCTCCGAGGCCACATTTGTTCGTTCGGGATCTACTTATAATCCCTAAGGGTCCAGGACTATCCGTTGCTCGGATGTCCTTTGACCCCCCCGGCAACGACCATTCTCAGGAAGTACGAACTGACCTCCGTTCGGCCATCCGAAAAGGAGGTACCTGGACCCTATGGGTTCAGAAAGGACATAGATAGTTGGACATCCTCAGGATAGTCCTGGACCCTTAGGGTATAATAATATATTATAATCTCTAGGACTGCAGTGTCGGGTGCATCTCTTTTCGACCAAACGGATTTCCACATCCACTCACCTGTCACATGCCACGGGGTGCCTAATGTCGGTCGTCGGGGTGCGAACATGTCACATGCCTCACAGGGAAATGGGCAACGGCACATGGCAAACGGCCGCACGTCCGCACGCACGTCCGCACCTCTTCCTCGTGTTGCCGCTCTTGTGCCGCGCGGCTGGTCGCCGTGCGCTGTGCGCGGGCGGTCTCCAAGAGGTCCTGTGGATCGGACGGACGCAGCACGGGGCGCCGTGCCGTGCCGTGTAAAGCAAAGAGACCAAACGGTGCGGCCCGTAGAAGAGTTGCTTCTCCCATAGGGCCATAGGGTCCAGGTACCTGCTGAGGATGGCCTTGGAGGTGAAAGTACTTCCTGAGAATGGTCTTGGGGGGGTCAAAGGACATCCTCAGGATAGTCCTGGACCCTTAGGGGATCTAGAGTTGGAGAGGACCTTGGCGTTCGTTCTTGGCGCCACTCTGGACGATCATGCCGCTACTCGTCCGTGCGCGGAGTTTTTTGCGGTGGACAGTGGACAGGAATGTTAAACACATGGAAGAGTGGATGGCATCTGACTTAGTTGAAGACCAGGTTTTGGTTTTAACCTTCCCCATATGGTTCAGTTGCGGAAGAAACATGGGGTCTGACTTCTTGTGGGGCCATGCCTCTCATGCCTCACTCAAGACTCAAGACAACCCATCCGCCGTCCTGGGCTCTAGCATGCAGCCTCACATGCTGCGAAGGCTGTTTTTTTTCCACAGACATGGCACAGGTGTTGTGGCAACCTAACAGGTTGGTTTCGAGGCACCCATGAAAAACACCGTGAAAAAGGTGCGGATGATCCTTAAGTTCTGTCAGTTTTAAAGCCGTTTCGATCAAAAGAGTACTATACTGGTTAGGTCTATACTGGTTAGGTTGCTGGTATTGGGATAGACCTAACCAGTACATCCAAATGCAATGATCAAAGGTAGACCGGTCTATCCCAGGTTTCAGTGGATGATGGGGCCGACGGTTGCAGGCCTTTCCATCTCTGGCGCTACCCGACTGTTACAAGTGGTGGTTCTTTTTGGTGAACCCTACAAGTCAGTCTGACCTCATTTTACTGGAGATGGTCATGCAAAACCAATACTTAAGGAGGTAAAAGACCAGGTTTTACTGGGTCTTTGGACTTGTAGGGGAATATTGACCCTAGGCTTCCTGGCCAACCCTTGTTTTAAAGGCCCGACTCCCGAACCACCAGCTGTTTTACGGACAAGTACACGACGAAAACCCATGGTCGAACCGAACTCCTCTTTGAATAGTCGAACCGAAAGGAAGCCGGACCGGGTTAATGTATACATTTTACCGTGGAACTCCGGGACTCCGGGGGATCGTTTTGGTACATGGTGGCGACGATTCCGACCCTGAAACAGTCCTGCTTGGTAGAGGAAAACACTCGGACCCAGGGAGCCAGCCAGGACCCGGGTCTATGTGAGTTGACTCGGTGAGTTGACTTCGACCCTTCACACCTTGGTCCCATTCGGCGGCTGAAACTCGGTGCGAAGACGCTCTGAAACGCGACGGTCCACAGGTGAGCCTCTGTTCGAAGAGCACTTGCAGTTTCTGAGCACTTGCAGTCATTGGATGGTCACTGTGAATCAATTTCTCAGAAACTCTCCGAACTGGAAGTCACCTCGGAGTTGGGTGGTGCTAAGCCACTCCCCAGTGAGTGGATTCGTGGATGTGACGGGAACACCCCTCATCTCCGAGTCGCAAGGATGGCCCCCGGTTGTGACAGCTGGAGACCTTGTTTCTTTGCTCTTCATGCAGAAGCGACCTTCAAGGAGGTCCGGCCTGATCGTCACCAGTTGTCCCACCTGATCTCATCGGATATCATCCAGACACCATGGGACTGCCATATATATATATATATATATGCCGATCAGTTGGGGTGGTGCCAGAGGGGTCAATTGATCGGCAGTCCGTCCTGGCAGTCCCAGGTCCAGGTCGCGTCTGGGTGATCATATCCAGGACCTTCCCGTCGTGACCGACCTTCAGGATTGCCGAACTTCGTGACCGAACAGAACAGTCGACCTGTTCATGACCTCTTCACCGGCTGAAGATGATCATCTCATCTGGCCACCGAATTATACATGCGCGCGCGCCCCGTCCTGTCTCGTACCCTCTGGGACCTGTGCTTCTTCCTCAGCCACTGGATCTCATCGGATCTCGCCACCCAACAAAAACGGCCCTGTCCAGTCATGTCTCCCTCTGGGACTCCCGGGCTGTTCCAGTGGTCCATTCAAGGAGGCTTTGCTGCAGAAGCGCCTCTTCGGCGCCGAGAAGGCCTCCTCTGCCTGGCGCGGTGTCGCGGTGTCCGGCAGAAGTGCGCCAGGAAAAAAACTGGGGCCCATTATACGCATTATATCCTTGGATTTGCTGTCCAGGAACCCGGACAAAAAGAGAACACACAACATCTTCAGCAAAAGGGGATTATGATTTGACAATCACCCTGATCCGGCAAAACCAGGTGGATGGTCTGGGTGGATGGGGAGCTGCACCGGAGTTGCTGCAACGCCCAAAACCCCGGGCTCCGGCCCCGTTCGGAGGCCTCTGCCGTTGCTGTTCGTCGCTTCATCGGGCGGACGGCTGGTTGGGCGAATCAGTCCAACGGATGTCAGAAAAAGCTGGGGTTCATGGCCCCAGGCCATCTTTGCTATTGGTGTGCTAGTGTTATACCAGGACACCCGGACCAGGGGCTTCTATTAATAGCCCCCTTAGATGTGAAGGAGTGTCCATTAACCACCCCTTGTGGGTCCTATAGTAAGGATTGTTTAAAATAATGGTATATTGTTGTGATTCTACATATGTGGGTGTTTTACCAGCATGTTGGGGTGCGATCCATGAAGGAATAGAGGTGCTACATCCACTCACTGGATGGGACGACTACACTACCCCTTGGTGACTCCTGTTCGTTTAGCCTTTGATCATCCGATCGGTGATGGACAGCATGGCTGTATGGCCCGGATGCATTGCAGGTCATCCTGTTTCTTCGACTGGGCGTGGCTGCGTCGTCCTTCTTCGGTGTCATGTTGTGCTGTTTTATTAAATTCAACGGCCATCCACAGGTCCTGCATGGTTGTGTCTTGCCATCTCTCTAGTGTTCAAACCAGGCAGCTTCGGGGAAGATCTAAAAATGAGTTGTCTTCCAACTGACTCTGAGCCAGCTTGGGCCGAGGAGCGCGAGACACGTGTAACGATGAAAAGCGGCATCTTCACTTCTGGGGGTTTAACACCAGGAGACCGACCGATTGACCTACCAGCCAGGACAACCTACTGGGGTCTCATGGGGTCTGTTCCAAATTCTCTTGTCGCTCTTACCCGTTGGCCATCGTTGGCCCTAGGGTCTCACCCACTGAACGTTGGGGGTCTACAGTCTATGCAAGCTGGCAGATGCTGGATTCCGGAATGTTCAGGGACAGCTTGGGGCTGAAGTGTGGGGTGAAACCTAGGGCAAACGGAACTCCAAACAATCCACATATGGAATTTTGTACCAAGACCTTCCAACAGGTGGTTTTTGGACACCCCTTAACCTCTATGAGGCAATGTATAGACACCTCAAACGAAGGGTGCTGGTACCTACAAATAGTACGTTGAGGTGGTTGACATGCGGTCCAAATGCGTCAATGTTGGTCAATCTTCCACTTGCTGCATGGATGGTTTTAGTTTCAGCAGTCGACCCTCATTTGCCGCGGAGGACCCTCCTTTTTCTGGACAAAAGTAATACCCTCTTTGCGGAGTATATTTGTCTCCATCGAGCTCTTTTTCAACCACCCCAATGTAGGCAAATATGGAATACATGGAGTGTTAGGGATTCGTAAGGATTGGGCAATAACAACAATAGATTGGGCATGAGAATATCGGTAAACTTCATGATTCTTCGTGCCGATCGCCATCTGAAAGAGTGCCCGGCACAACTTGGCCATCAATGCGCCTGCCAGCTGGCACCAAAAACGAGACAGCGGCTGGGCAGAAAAATATTAGTTCTTTGTGTTGTGACAAATCCTCTGAACCTATTACAGTAATGTACACTGTACACAGTTGATGAATAAAACCAATGTCAAACACCATCAGGGGAGATATTCATCAACAGTATTCAACAGTCTGCATTACTTGGATTTGCTTAAGAAACCAGGACAATGGCATCCCTGCACTGAAACAAGCAAAACTCTTCCGTGACCCCAGATTTTGCCCTTCATTCTGCCAACTGAGGCTTTTCAGAACCCGACTCTTCGACGATCCCATGACTGTACCCCAGGATATGGGTCCTTGTTCAGGTCACTGTCTACCTCTGTTGGTGGGAATGGAATTGGATCATGCCACACTCCATGTATGTCATATTTCCTTACATTGGGGTTGAATGCAGGTAACTATCCCATACATGGATCCTCTGGGATGCATCATGGATCATTCAAAGCTACTCTGCAGTTACCACTGTCCGACTTGGTGCGAGGGGGGGGTGTATGCTACCCACAACCTTCCCACACTGCTTGGAAGTCCAAAGGGACCAAATATCGCGGCACAAGGTCCTTTAAAAACACAGTGTCCTCAGTTCTATCGTTACTCAGTGGCTCCAGCTGAGCTAAACAAGTCATGAAACTTAGCTGCTACATTTTTCCCCCCCTGAAAAAGAAGTATCAAAAGTGCGCTCTTGGCAACTTGGCCACCCACCTAAGGGGGTTTGGAGAATACCGGGACTACCTTCCTCCTCTTTTGCCTGCTAGTAGGTGCAAGTTGATGCATTACAGCAGCAGCTGACTCTCTCTCTCTGCACACGAGGCCCGCAGGATTCGAGGTCAGACTTCGAACCAACATCCGAAGTGAACCCGCACGACCGGGTTCAAAAAAAACAAAAAAAAATACAAACAACAACTTGCGCCATCTTGCACAAGGTCCTTCCGTGAAACTCCTTACCCAATCACACGCAACCACTCTTAGGCAGCTGAGGAAAATCAGGGAAACCCACTTGTCTCGCCTTTTCTCCGCCCATCCCACCCCAAAACCATCCCAAGCAGCTTCCTCCCCAGTCCCGCCCACGGGACCGCTGTTCGAATGCTTTTCTGGCACTGACTCGGTGAGCTCCTCCACCAGCCGCCGGATTTCTGGGGAGTCGTGGCAGCCCTCGGAACGCCGCAGCAGTGGGTGGCGGAGACGCAAGACCTGCCCGACCGTCGTTGGAGTTTGGGAGTTCTCCTCTGGTGGGGTCGGCAGATCCAAAAAAGGGATTGGCACAAAGGGGTGAGTGAGAGTGACTATGTGTGACTCAGGGTGAAAGAATCTGTGATATTTACTAAGTCATCTGGTGCATGGTGGACATTGCGCCTGCCACTGACATGTGGAAAGGTAAAGCCTATCATTCCGCAAAAGCCATCAACTTCACATCGAGATGGTGGTGTTGGGTTGTTGAGGAGGACTGGCCATCCCAGTCCGGTGCATGATTGCATGATTGTTTGCAGGGTTCGACTTTTTGGTCAGTCAGGGGCCTCCGAGAACCCCACCCTCCGCCGATTCCGATTCCGTCTTTGCAAAAGGGTATGGTTGGGACCGGTGGTTTAAGTGTCCAATACCCAAACACTCCATGTATTGGGATATATTTGCTTGCCTTGGTCGTTTCCGGGGACGGTCGATGGGGCGGCATGTCTTACAGTCCCATTAGTCGTGTCTGAAGCATGGTACATTGGCCAAAGCACACATAACCTTTGGCAACGACCTGAATCACGGTGACCCATACCCTTGATACAAGTAAGGGCTGCATCTCCGGAATGTGGTTGCTATGCATTGAGCTCCCCCTATTGGCATGCACCACGGACATGAAGAGTTACCACAATAGACAAACAAGTATAATTATATAACAAGTAGGCCAGAGGTTCTTCAGACTGATCAAACAAACAAGGAGAATCTTCCAGGAGTCACAAGTACGGGTGGTGTGGCTCGTTCCCTTACGTGAGTGGATGCGATAATGGGCACCCCTAACCTCCATGGATCGCACCCTTTTGTGACTGCTGGTTCATGTCTTCAAGTCACGAACCGTCTTAAGGCTGCTCGGTCCAGCCTCCCCCGACAGCCCCTCTGGACGGCAGCCCTCGCAAGGATCCGTCCCGCTGGCACAAAGATGGCTGGGCAAAAGAGCCTGCGCCAGGCGAGCGGAGGTCCCAACAGAGGTTTTGGAGAACCCGACGGTTCGACTATCCCAGGAACCGGTACCCCAGTAATTGGGATCCTATTTCGGGTCCTATTTTCAGGCAACCTCTGTTGACATAGGCGAAAGCAGGGGATAAGATGTTCCCTACCCAGGTGAAAATGCCGTTGCCCCGCCCCAACCCCCAACCCAACACTCCTCTCACTGCGGCTTTGTATGGCCCTATAATGGACATGCCCGGCTGTTCTTTCCTAAATTGGCCGAACCAAGTCAGGAAGCACCAGGCAATTCCCAAGTGGGGGAATAGTGCTTCCCAAACAATGGTTTTGCAACCCCTTCGTCAACGTTTGGAGATCGGCTCTACGTTGTCGTGAAACATTTGAAGAAGTAGATCCTTTAAATCTGTGTCCAACAAGGGAATACCATCCGAGGTCTTCTGGGCTTTTTCACGCTGCGGTAGAAACCATTCAGCTCCATGGTCCAGGAATGCCTCTGGGATCTTACAGTATATTACTATAGTTCTTCCATGTTCTTCCTCACTGCCTTGACTCATGCCATCTGCAAAAGAATAATCCACTAAAACATCACACCAATCTTGCTCACTCCTTCGATGCCACGTTGAGACTGTTGTAAGCTCTTCCACCAAACTTCCAGAGCTGCCAGCCAGCGCTCTTCTCTAAGACCACCAACCAATCCCACTTCATCCTACCGCAAAGCCCGCCTGAGAGTCCCAATCAGACCAGCTATGCCACTCAAGCCCGGGCACACGCAACTCCTCACCGTCGATCTCGGCTTGCTCGGTGCGGAATCGGTGGCTGAAAGCGGAGATGCGGAATTGGGGGTGGAGGAGCGACGCAATGGTGTAGTAGTTCGGAACAAGAAAACATGTGCATCAACTCGTAGGACGTCGCGAGGAACCATTGTAATGTTCCATTTACATCCAAGACATAGCAACTTCTGGAAACTATATCAACTTCTGGAAGAATGGCACATACTCCTGAGAAGAATCTAGCGCCCATACTCAACACCACCGTATGCAAGATGTACAAACTACAACAAACCAAAACCATACCTGAATTCCAAAACATACCTAATTTAAATCGTTTGAATTATCATAGACCAAAACCCTTCACGTCGGGTGTCGATTTCGAGCTGAAGCTCGCTCCCCAACCTGAAGGAGTTCGCGCTTCTCAGCAGTGATGCTCTGTGCTACGAGCAGTTTGCCTCCCAGCTGCTTTTGCAGCTGCTCTGCGCGCCACAGCGGCCAGGCAGAGGCGAACTCCGAGGAAAACATGTCCTGGCCACACGGCACGCCCACGTCCGCATGGACGGATGCGCGTGGGCGGCACGGCCCATGGACGGAGGCGAGGAAAAGGAAGGGACCAAGTGAGACTTTGGACGACTTCGATTTATAAAATCTTATGGTATCTTATGGTCAATTTGCAAACATCAGAAACACATGTATGGTTCTAGGACATTAGAAGGGATATACTAGGACACGTCATAAAAGACTTCTGGGCCACGGATGGATTTGCCCCAAACGAAGTGTAGGGACTTGTGCCGTCGCGCCGCCGTCGTCTCGTGACGCTCGAGAGGCCCAGGTCAGCCAAAGTCAGGGCGGCTCTCAGGTCAGAACCAGCCAGTTTGCATGCATTTTTTGGGTGATTTGCTTAATTGCTTGAGGAACATGGACAAATACTTAATATTATATCCTCAACCGCCCCAAAGATGCATCAGATGATGAGCAGCTGAAGAGCTACAAAACGATCGTCAGCTCTCCACAAACTACCTCAGCCTTAGACCCTGCGGAGGAATTCTCCCCAAACTCCGAGGTCAAACGAAAGTAAAGTTCAACCCTCCCTAGGGCTCCAACCACCTCCGTTTCGAAGATGGTTGGGGTGGGTGCCAGGGGGGTCTAACCACCTTCTAAGGATATGGTTGGAGGTTTAGGGGGTATACAAAGAAAGAAAACACTCTATCAGGGCCCACTCTAGGGCTATCTAATTCTAGCCCCTTAGCAGTTTTCGGGGACCATCCGGGTCTCCGCGAACCACCCCGTCCCCAAGGGGGGCCCAGCAGCAGCAACGCTGCACGAAGCACATCGACTCCCTGGAGAAAGAGGCGTTTGGGCTGCTGTGGGGTCTCCCTATGACTCGGAGGGACAAAGACCATAGAGATACTGGGATACTGGAAAAAAGGAACTCACTCCACGATCTCCTTTCGGATGAATGTTCCGTCTTTTTTGGGCATCCCCTACCTTTGGGTGCCCATTGGAGGAAGTCGGGGTGCCCAGAAGCACAATCCTCTTTTAGCTGTGGGTGGCGCCACGATACTTTGGTGGCCTCCGCCCGGTCACGAGAAAAAAGCCTCGGTTCGAAATCGGATGATGAGAGCAGAAGCTCCTGCACAAAGAGCAAGGCAGAACTTCCCCCCAAAGGCTCCCTGTTCAGCAGGCTGCCCGGCTCCACCGTGGGGAAATCCACACCGGCCGTCCAAAGGACCTCGGAACGAAACATCGGGATGACACCCCATCACTTCTCCCCATGGGATCTGGACTACTTAGCCTTCCATCACCCCATCAACCGGTTTCCGAGACCGAGCCATTTAAAACATGGTGGGACCTGGTGTTGTAGTGATGGTGGCTCGACACGAACCAGTAAATCATTGATTGTGGTTGGAATCCGCTAGGGATCATATATAATATATATATATACATAAATAATCACATGGAAAACAGAACACCCCCGTTTGCAAAGGAAAATCGTCATCCAAGGGACCATGTTGCACTTCCATGTTAGTTCCAGGGAGTGTACCTACATTGTTCCGCAACATTGGCCCTTAAAACGTCTTTATAACAACCGCCCCAATTAATTGTATGCACATATTGCCATACATGGATTGTATCAGAGTGAGGCACCTCAAGATGACGCCTTAAAGAGCCGCCCAGAGTTGATTCCTCTATATTCCTCTGCTCAGGTCATACATACAGTGACATGTATAGTATCCTGTAGATGCACCCCAGATCACCTCATTCTCCAGTTGACCAGGACCTACCTCCAAGAGGCTATTCACAAACACCTCAAACGGAGGGTCCTGGTATACTTGACCATCTATCAACATACCATGTTGGCCAAACGGCTCGTGCCCACCGATTGAACTCGCCCGACCGTCGGTCACCCATCACCCGACCACTCGAGCTCCAGGCGGGCGTGTCCAGTAGACGACCGCGGACCTGGCGGCAACGGCGGGGCGGAACCACGTGACCGGGATCCGGACTCGAACGTACTCAACTCACCTCAGGTTCGGTGTGAAAACGGATCCGCCCCTGGCACCTACAGTACATAGCAGTGGAGACAACACACCATACCTGAGAAGGTATTGGATCCCTATGAGTGTGGACATGTGTGGACTGTCCACCATATCATGTGCCACGGGATGCCATACCTGGAACTTCCTCAGAGTGCTCTTTTTCGATCTGCGGCGTGAAAACACATCTTTTGGAGTTACAGCCTTATGTTTGAGTCTGCGGATGTGTCTCTAGTTTTCTGTTTTTTTTGATATTCCACGGGGATTTATACACAAGCTAAGGGCGTTTATTGGTGTTTTCCCGAATAGGATTTTAAACGGATGTTAGTTTCGGTTGCGGATGTTTATGTGGTTCACAGAACTAAATAAAGGTATGTTGAACCACCGACCCCGCCCCCCAAAAAAAAGAAGCAACCACGAGGTTGCAGGTATATGATGGTATATGGGTTTCCCGACTTTCGTCCACATGGTTCATTTGTGGGGAGTTTCTCCTCCAAGAGAGGTTAAGTGACCTTATAGGACCCTACTGGGGTACCTATGGGATAGTCTATAGGGTCACTCAACCTGTGTTGGCTGGTTTGCGGCAAAGGCGGAGGATGATGAGACTGGGAACCTCTGACAGTTGAGAAACTCATGCTCGATCTGGGTCAGCTCAACTCGGACGACCAAGCAACCTATCTGGGCCCGACCCGGCTGAGCCAGTACCTTACCCTAAGGGTCCAGGACTATCCGAATCGGATGTCCTTTGACCCCCCCGTTCGACCATTCTCAGGAAGTACGAACTCACCTCCGTTCGGCCATCCGAAAAGGAGGTACCTGGACCCTATGGGTTAGAAAATGGGACATGACCCCATAAAAAACAGGTACGACTGTACCCATTTTGTGACGTACGCGTTCCGGGTCGACTCCAGGTTACATCGACCAACCGACCTCACCGGCCCTGGCTGTTGGCCACGAGCTCCCCACGGTGACTCCGAGCTCCGGCTTCGCTCCGACTTCGCGCTCGCCTGCTCGAAGGTCCATTGAGAGGTCAAGAAGCCTTGGCCGTACTGGTACGAGGCCACGCCATCTCCTGGCAGCTCCGCCACGGCTCGGAGCGGGATCTGACCGACACTCGAATGGCTTGAGCTGGATGTAGCGCAGGTGTGCGAAGGTGGAGAGAACAGTAACAGATCAAAGGCGGGAGAGACCTGGGGTGCTTGGGGGCTTGCCAATGTTTGAACGACATAGCATCCGCATTGAGGTAGGACATTGGCAGTCAAATAGACTTTCGCAAACATGTTGTGGGGCTGCAGTCAAAGTACTCATAGGTCCTTGAAGCCCCACATGCAGTTAGAAGCAACTCGACTGACCCACAATTCCCGAAAAGCACCGGACAAACAATTCCACTTCGACCAGTGCACCTCTCAAAATTGATCCGAGCACTGAGTCGGCAATCCTTCCAGAAGTCATACCGAAGCTGTGTGACTTCTTAGCCGAGTAGCAACCATCCAACATCCACCCCAGCCAGACGCTCACCCTATGTGGGTAAATCACACATCCATACATCCCCCCCCTCCACGCAAAGAAGCAATTTACACGATCAAGCAGCCAAGCTTCCAGGCAATCTGCCCTGAGCCCCCAGCTGTGAGCGCGTGCAATTCGACAAGCGCTGTGGGTCTTCGCAGGGCGTCACGGAGGGTGTGTGCCACTGTGGCCGGTGGACTCCCTCTTGGAAGGGCTCCATGATCTCCTCAAGCATCCGGCAGAAGACCGGCGACCACATGATCCACATGGACTGAAAGTAAAAACCCATGGGCTGGGTAGCCGAACTATTCCAATACATACGGAATCAAAGATATCAAATCTGAGATGTCTATGCTTGAAGAACTGAAGAATGCAAACATACCAAGCATAGTTGAAGAATAGTTGAAGCATGCTTGAATAGTTGAAGAATGGACCAATAATGGACACATACTAGTAAAGCAAGAGAATGGTTTCGAACGAACACAAGTCCACTTGCGTGCCATCGCAGTGGGGACGGCCAAAAAATAGATGTGCCCACACATTTCAACCAGTCCTCACCCAAATGAATCAATCAAATGAAGCCATAAACCTGGACCCTCCAAGGGGTGTCCAATGGACTACCCCACACTACCTATAGGCTTCCAAACAGGGCACCCCGAGAGGAGGGTCCTGGAAGGCTGTGTTTCTCCTGCTTCTGGACCACTCCAACTGTACTTGGAGCAAAACATCCAATTGGATCCGGTTCGCCGGAACATCCTGGTCCGAACATCCAGAGGTATCCAGTGACCGTACATAGGACCCGGAAAACCTGGGGTACCGAACTAGGGTTCTTGAACCTCTGTTGGATGTTCATCTTGAGAACCCGGAGAAACCGCACATGAGCTTCCCTTTTTTTGAGTGGCTCGGCTGAGCTGGTGACTTGTAGTCTAATGTCCTGGGTACTGTAAAACAATGGGTTGCTTGGTAAGACACCTCAAATCAATGATGGTTGGGATCATGTTCTCTCGAGCTACAACTTCATCGCTGCTTGTGGTCCACATGAGCTACGGCCCAAATCTGCGCACAATCCCTTATACAAATATACATATGGTTTGCATCCGACGAAGCCATACATTTGATTGCAGTTTTTTGGTGTAGCTGATATCATTTTTGGGGGAGTGCATCTTTTCTGTGAAACCATTCCAGGACCGCTCGTGACGGCTCGCACGTTTCTGCCAAAGCATCTCGATAGACATTGCGTGCTTCACTGGAGAGCAGCTGCTGAGTGTCTGCCCTGCAGTGAATGGGTGCCAACAGCTCTGCAAAAGAACACTTCAGGGGTTGCTGAATTGGACTAATTGGTTCAAGTTGGTCTAGAATAGCTATATAATTAATCTACAGCATTCTAGAGCTATGTCGTCCATGAACGAACGATCCGTCCCCAGCGACCCCGCGCGACCCGCTCCGCCCGCCTCAGCGCGGGCGACGCCGGTCGCTGCAAGTAGCTCCGCTGCGAAAGCGCTGTCAGCGGCGTGGAGCGCTGCGCTTCGAAGGCGTGGACGTCGCGGGCAAAGAGGTGGGTGATGAAGTGCTGCGGAGAAGAGGAGATCTTCACCTGGTGGTATTCGGCATCCAAAGGCTGCAGCATCCAGAGGTTGCAGCAACCCGAGTCTTATGGACTCTATCCTAGTTCGGTACCTCAGGTTACGGGTCCTATAACTTAACCTCTGTTGGTTTTTGGGCTATCAAACTGATTTCAACTCGGGATCTTGTCCAAAGGGTGAAGAGACAAGGCGGCTTCTTGAAGAAGAATGAGGAGGGAATGACTTGATTAGCTCCAAAAGTCGGTCTAGATTGAAGCATCTGGTCAAGCTGGTCATGGCAAACCCAGTGGATCCCAGGCAAACCACGAGTACTAAGGAACCAGGGGTTCGTTCGGTCTATGGTTTTAGTCTTTGGAACCACTGGTTACCAGCTATAGTGGTAACTGGATGCCCTGGCAAAGGTAGAACTCCAGCTTCTGATCGTGCTGGCGAAACGATTTCCGGTGGAGAAATCCGTCGATTCGCTTCCGACTGCAGCGCGGCAAGGTCCCACCTCACCACTCTGCAAACCGGTGAAGCACAGTTCAGTGCAGGTGGTTGACCGTTAGATACCCGGGGCTAAAGCCACGCGACGCTTTCAGCTGCAATACGGATCCTGGAATTGGAGCGAACCCAAGGATTCCAGGGTTCCAATAGTAATTCGTTTCACATGGCGATACTGAAAAGCACTAGCTCATTAGCACCGATACTCTCCTGCCCTCTAGCACTAGCCAACAATCGGCTTCCAAACCTACCACGACGATATACCCCAACACAGACTCCTCTGCCACTTCCCGCTGCCAACAGGGCGCTAACTCCAGCAACATTTTTCCCCAAGCGATGGCACAAGGGTTCATGTCCTCGAAGCTTGCGAAGATGAATGCGCACTCCGACTCAAGCGGATTCAAAGTTGGCAATGCATCGCACATTTAGAAGGATCTGTATATATATATATTATACAATCTATTTATATATTATAGATGCATAGATGTTATAAATAATTGTGTATGTATACAGCTCAGTATAGGTTTTCTCAACTTCTCTTGGCTTGCCAGCGGCCTCTCTGAGATGGCGAAACCACGTAAACCCTTGACCCGGTCGATGGAAACAGCCACGCTGGTCCGCCCTGAAACACTCCACGCGCACTAGGTGGCCGACATATGTTCCAGTCTCGGTTCTGGTCACTGGTCACTCGTTCGTTTAGGATGGGATTTGTAAACTAGGAGTTGTAGGAGTTTAGTTTTTAAGTGTTGTAGGGAATCAAAAGTCCTACATCCACAAGTACATCCTCCAGTTTCATTCCTGACTTGTTTTCCACTTCAGTGGCAACTGTGGCAACCAGAATCCAAACAAATCCATCCAAACCCATCCAAACAACACGCTTGGAACCCAAATGCGCGCGGCGCGCAGCCAGCCGGTGGAACAGAACCGAACCGCTCTGCCGAGGAGCGAAGAAATGCACCTAGCGGCTGTTTCAGAGGTGTTTGTTGTCCAAAAGGTGGAAGACCCCCAAAATGCATGTTTTTTCCTGGTATTTCTGGATGCTTGTAGGGTATGGTAGTGGGAGATTGGAAACACACACACATAGTTGTAGAGATTCTTGTACTATTTGTTGTTTGCCAGCTGATTGTTCCATACTCTTATGCCATGCTAGTCCATGATGACAGTACCATAGGATACCCCCGACCCATTTAGCTCGATCTTGGGTGGGGAGTTGCCCCGGGGAGGGGTATCCCTGGGTGGGAGAAAGCTTACCCCAAGGGCTTTTGCCTTGGGAAGTGCGGATTCCTGGCACCTTCATCCAAACAATAACGCCACAAATCATAGCATACGGAGAAGAAACAAACATCACAATCTACGGAATCGATCATTACCCACAAAGAACGCACTTTCTCCAACTGCCTAATGGAAAGTAGGCAGGGAAAGACCTTGGACCTAGTGGAAGACCACCTTCCTCTAGCAACTGGGCCTGTTCCACTTCCCTGAATGGTACGAAGGCCGAATGTTTAGGCCTGATCCTACCACCAGTGAAGGGGGTCGGAGCCTGTGTTGAAGTTTCCTTCTCTCGTTTTTACAGGGCAGCACCACTGGCAGCTGCCATCACGCGCCATCTAGGCCCCTGGTCAAGTTCGACATCTTGCACTCTCCGAAGTTCGGATGCATGGAAACACCTCCGGACACATGGCCCTCCGGAAGGCGTAACTCTTGCGACGCGACGGAAAGGCCTGCTTTGGGCGCAAAGGAAGGAGTAAGTTCAGCGCGCTCAAGGATCCAGCAACACCTGAGGTGCTGGAAAACATGAGGTGCTGGTGTACCGTACGGGTGCAATGATTCGGTGGTTTTGATGATACGTTGTTGATATGTTTTGGATGATGGTTTGGATGATGGTATGAATTGAAGCCTTCCAAAATTCAAAGTGGAATTCTCAAAATGAATGGACTTCCCGAAAGACACCTGCCCTTGTTCAAGCAAAGCTGAGCCTTATCTCACTTTGGACCTGCCCATTCCAATCCACTGAAAAAGTTGCATTGTTAATAACGACTTCTGGCTATGTAACATGATGGTCAAAACTTCAACAAATATCTCCCCCTGGTCAACCAGCCAACGAGCCTAAGGAACGACTTGGGGGAAAAAATGCTCCAAGGCAGAGAATTCCCATGGAACATCGAACCGATCCGCAAAACCGCGAACGAAGCAAGCCAACCAGCTTCAGCTAACCAACCACACGCCTCGCAGATGAGGCAAGATCACACGTGAAACGGCGGCTACGCATCATGCTAACGACTCACTGAGTCAGCAAAATATGTTCAAGGAACCTGCTGTTTTACACATATTGGATCCCAGTTGCCACTGGTTTCAGTGGTTTGATGTGTTTGCCTGGATGCTCCTTGGGTCTTCCTTGGATGTTCAAGGAACCTGGTGTTTTACACATCTTGGATCCCAGTGACCACTGGTTACCAGCGACATCGTGGTTTGATGTGTGCCTGGATGCTCTGGGTGGAACACTCCAACGAGTTATAATAAGTGGTCGGGACCAAAAAACTGAAATTGCATGCTCAGCATCCTCCAACACCCAAGACTCCAGCCCTACCGCTCCGCCCTCCCTGCTGCCCTGCTTGGAAACCAGCTCCCCCCCAGTGCTCCCCCACCCAAACCCACTCTCCAACCCACCCTGGAACCACCGCGTCTACACCGCTGATCACATAGAAATGCCCTTAGTTCCGATCGCTCGTCGCGTCCTTTTTCGCCCCCCTTCGTCGCGGCCAGGACACTGAGGAGTTGGTCGACCTCCTGGAGCAGCGCGCGGACGCTCCGAAGGCTCCATGGGTCCGAAGCAGGTCGCTGAGTACGGTATGTGTGGTTCCTTCGGGTGGGGGCCAAAACCTCGAAGCACCATGAACAGTATCGCAGGAAGTGGTTGTTGTGTCTGACACCATGATCATCCCATGCCGGCATGAACTCATAACTCAACAAAACCTCAGTGGAAGCAGCATGATCCGCAGCTCTGAAAGAAGAAAACAATATAGAAAACCTACGTAGCAAAAGGAATGGCCCGTGAACCTCCCCCGGCGCGTGTGGAAGTATCGCATCGTCGCAGCACATGTGCTGAGAAGACCGGCTCCTCTTGCCTTCGGAGCAAGCTCAGGATGATGTGCAACATCTCGCCTCTGGGTCGAGAAAAGGGATTCAGGCGCGTAGAACGCGGTCTGCAGCTTGGAACCCAGGA